AAGGCAGACAGAATTAACAGCTTCATCATCACGGGATCTCCCGTGGGTGAGCAGGCCGGATGCATGAATGACAGTTCACGGTTGACATTCCTGTTGTGGATTCTTCAGATTCTGAATACATAAATTCAGAAACAAGCACACTCGGTTTCGCTCATCATACTTTCTGCCTGGGTCTCCTCTTCAAGTCTGAATTTTCTGCTCAAGGATTCCTTCTGTCTGATAATTGTTCAGCTTTGCTTCACAAATCTGAGCCTTTTGTTTGGCAGGCTGCACGTCCTTTTTGGAAAACATGTTTAGTATTTGTATTCTGCAGAACACTCTTCGTCTAGGGACATATATATAGCAAGGTGTGCTGATCTGCATGCTAGAGGTAGAAGGTTGTTCAGTAGATTCTTTTGTTCAGCATATTCTTATTTTATCTGGCGATTTTTTTTTCCAAAAAACAGAGGCTGGATAGTCCTTGCGGTTGCTGACAGGTACTTCCTGCACATATATTGCCGTTGTTAATCAGACGCTGAATTGAAAACAATTTTTTTTGGTACATACAGAGAACCACGAGAGTCTGCTAATGATATCTTTATTTTTACATATTAGACTGCCTAGTGGGTCAGTTTGGAGCTGGATGTCAGCCAAGTTCTTCAAATGATACATTTGGACTGAGAAGGATCTCTTATGGACTGGTAAGGAAAGATGACACTGCACATACCATTGCATACGAAATATTGTCATAATATATTTTACACATGTCCAAATACTGGTTGAGAACAAGAAGAACTTTGACCTCACGAAGGCCTTCACCTTGGCGGCAGACGTTCAGCCTATAAGAATAGACAGTGACGTAATAAATGAGGTCAGTATATATTTCAGATTCATCACTATGTAGTTTGTTCATGAATACATGGTTTATGAGAAGTGTGATAAAATTATTCTTAGGTAGTACAATTTGTAACACGGAGACTGGAACATTTTTTGGTAAGTATCTTCTTGACCTGTCATAACAACATCCTCTTAGAATGTACTGAGGATAGACATATAAACATTGTTATAAAACCTGTATGTGAGTAAAATTCCATGTCTTTTTTAACTGACTCGTTGTTTCCTCATTTTGTATCAGGTGGACGAAGGAATTAACTATGAAATAGTCCGGTCAGTGCTTATGGAGCGTGCAAACTGCCCTTACCTAGCATCACAAACGGCAGCTGAAGTAAGAAATCATATATTGCTAAACCTTAAGATCAATTTTTTAATGCTCTGTGGATTAGAAGCTAATTTCAAAGACTGTATTTGTAACCTGGAACTCCATATTATGCGGTGTAAAATATCTGTGTTTACGTTTTATGTGTTTACTAACTTGCTGGAATTTATTGAAGCATCCTGAGTTTTTGGTTGATGGTTTTGCTATGTGGACACTTGCAACATTTTGAGTCAATAAAAATGCCCTTTATCGAAAAATGTGGACACTTGCAGATGGAAGCTTTTTCAAGAACTGAAGATTTTCCAAAAATTGTCAAGGCGTATTCAAGGCCAGTTCGAATTATACGTGGGAAGCAAATTGAGTCTGCTTGGGAGGTATGAGCTGCTTTAGCGTAGACATGTACCAACGCAATTCTTTATAACATACTCAAAGTGCAGCTTGAGTCATGAACCAAGCTTGCTGATGCGATATGCAGGTCGACGCAAGCGCATTCCAGAAAGAAGAAGAAAAGGCCTTGTGGAGCGCCTACTTGGAGGCTGCCGATAAGATCCATCCTGGTACACAACTCTACTATTCTCATTTCTCAAAATGACATGTTTCAGATCTGCAGTTCATGCTGCTCACCTGTACTCTATTCTGTTCACTGCCATTGCAGGAGTCGACATCAAAACCTTCGCCGAGGCATTCCTGCTTCTGATACAACCCCTGGAGGATTTCTTCAACAATGTTTTCGTCATGGCGGTGAGCACAAATCTATGTGTTAGTGTATATATGCACATATCTATACCTTTGCTAATTAAACTTGTATGGTGATGGCCCATGGAACAGGAAGACGAGAGGATCCGCAACAATCGGCTGGCAATGTTGCAAAAGATTGCGAGTTTGACCAAGGGGATCGCCGACCTCTCGGTTTTACCAGGGTTTTAGTTAGCCTTGGAGCAAGCAGGCGGTTGAGATAGAGGGTACGTCCCATTTTTGAGCCGGTGTCCTCAAGTTGGAGCCATTTTTTATTCTTCTTGTGTGTTGTGTTGCTGATATTATTTGGGATCCTCTTTGATTGGAGGATGGGGACCCAGGAAAAACCTATTTGGCATTCATTTAGATCTTACCAGTTTCAAGCAGATCGGGCGGGTGCTCCCTGACGTTGATATTTGTTTGTTGGTGTATAAATTTTCTTTTAAGAAGATTGAAACAGTTGGAGCTAGCCTTCCTTCTGTCTGTTTAAGAAGAGAGATGTATAATATGTAGACGGATATACTCGTAATCTA